CTACATGTTAGTGTTACTATACAGCTTTTTTTAACTGTCAGTCTTCTTTTACTCAGTATTTTAAAGAATTATTCATGCTTTTGCACAGAGGTTTTTTGGGGGTTTTGTTTTGTTTTGTTTTTTGTTTTTGTTTGGGTTTTTTTTTTTCCCTCTGTAACAAGGGTCAGGCAAACATATTGTATGAATATCTATACAGTAAACATTTTAGGAGTTGCAGGACACAGAAGGCCTCTCACATTGCTTTTTGGGTTTGTTTTACAGTCCTTTGAAAATGTAGAAAGTATTCTTAGCTTGCAAGCTGGGTAAAGGTTGTTTTTTAATAGCATTCCATAGTTTGAATATATGTCAGTTTTTTCTACTATTAATTAAGCTTGTAATGCTTGCAATTTGGGTTGTTATGAATAATGTTGCTGTGAAAATTCTTGTACATATCTTCTGGTTCAAATGTGTCATTATTTTAGTGGGGAATAGATATATAACTTAGATATATACTCAGAGAGAGATTTCTGTGTCTTAGGATGTGTATAACTTCAGCCTAAATGGATGATGCCAAAATGTTTTCCAAAGTGGCTATCCAGTTCCTCCAGCGGAAGGAATATATAATTTGCATTATGGTGTGCTTCTTTTTTTTTTTTTTTTTGTGGTACACGGGCCTCTCACTCTTGTGGCCTCTCCCGTTGTGGAGCACAGGCTCCGGACGCGCAGGCTCAGCGGCCATGGCTCACGGGTCCAGCCGCTCCGCGGTCTCAACCACTGCACCACCAGGGAAGCCCGAGAACTCTTTAAAAAAAAAAAAAATTATTATTTAGCTGCTCCGGGTCTTAGTTGCGGCATATAGGATCTAGTTCCCTGACCAAGGATCGAACCCGGGCCCCCTCCATTGGGAGTGCGGAGTCTTAGCCAGTGGACCACCAGGGAAGTCCCTATGGTGTGCTTCATATATAGCTTGTTTAAAATATCTTTCCATACGCTAATATCATTGAGAGATTCTCCTATATTATCCCCTAAAGTTTTTTATTAATTTGCCTCTCCCACTGAAATTGACAGTTCTCCCCCCAAATGATTTTTGTGTATATTGTGAGATGGGGTTCAACATTGTTCTCTGAATCCCCCAACCCCCAGCATGAATATCTGATTGTCCCAGCACCATTTTTTGGGGGGGGGGTTTGCGGGCCTCTCACTGTTGTGGCCTCTCCCATTGCGGAGCACAGGCTCCGGACGCGCAGGCTCAGCGGCCATGGCTCATGGGCCCAGCCGCTCCGCGGCACGCGGGATCCTCCCGGACCGGGGCACGAACCCGTGTCCCCTGCATCGACAGGCGGACTCTCAACCACTGCACCACCAGGGAAGCCCTATTTTTTAGTTTTTAAAAAGTTTTATTGGAGTACAGTTGATTTACAATGTTGTATTAGTTTCAGGGGTACAACAAAGTGATTCAGTTATACATATACATATATTCATCCTTTTTCAGATTCTTTTCCCATATAGGTTGTCACAGAATACTGAGTTCCCTGTGCTATACAGTAGGTCCTTGTTGGTTATCTATTTTATATATAGTAGTGTGTGTATGTTAATCCCAAGATCCTAATTTATCCCTCCCCTCTACATTTCTCCTTTGGTAACCATAAATTTGTTTTCAAAATCTGTGAGTGTGTTTCTGTTTTGTAAATAAGTTCATTTGTATCATTTTTTTAAAATTAGATTCCACATATGAGTGATATAATACGGTATTTGTCTTTCTCTGTCTGCCTTGCTTCACTTAGTATGATAATCTCTAAGTCCATCCATGGTGCTGCAAATGGCATTATTTCCTTCTTTTTCATGGCTTAGTACTATTCCATTGTATCTATGTACCACATCTTTATGCATGCCACTGTCAATGGACATTTGGGTTGTTTCCATGTCTTGGCTATTGTAAATAGTGCTGCAATGAACATTGGAGTGCGTGTATCTTTTTGTATTATGTTTTTTTCTGGATATATGCCCAGGAGTGGGATTGCTGGGTCACATGGTTGTTCTCAAAAAAAATCTAAAAAGAGAATATACTGTTGTTCTCCATAGTGGTTGAACCAATTTACATTACCACCAACAGTGTAGGAGGGTTCCCTTTTCACCACACCCTCTCCAGCTTTTATTGTTTGTAGAATTTTTGATGATGGCCATTCTGACCAGTATGAGGTGATACCTCATTGTAGTTTTGATTTGCATTTCTCTGATAACTAGTGATGTTGTGCATCTTTTCATGTGCTTTTTGGCCATCTGTATGTCTTCTTTGGAGAAATGTCTATTTAGATCTTCTGCCCATTTTTTTTTAATACATTGATTTTTTTTTAAAACTAATTAATTAATTTAATTTTTGGTCATGTTGGGTCTTCATTGCTGCACACGGGCTTTCTCTGGTTGAAGTGAGCGGTGCAGTGAGCAGTGGCTACTCTTTGTTGTGGTGCACAGGCTTCTCATTGCAGTGGCTTCTCTTCTTGTGGAGCACAGGCTCTAGGTGCATGGGCTTCAGTAGTTGTGGCACACAGGCTCAGTAGTTGTAGCTCGCGGACTCTAGAGCGCAGGCTCAGTAGTTGTGGTGCATGGGCTTAGTTGCTCCGCTACACGTGGGATCTTCCCAGACCAGGGATCAAACCTGTGTCCCCTAAAGTGGCAGGCGGATTCTTAACCACTGCACCACCAGGGAAGTCCCATTCTGCCCTTTTTTTTTT